TTTCATGACTGCTTCCAATTTTATATTGTATCTCAAATTCAAAATTAAATCATTAGAAAAAGAGATTTTAAAGCGTAATATCTTTCAAGAAACCTTATAAAAGACCCCTAGATGGAGCTGTAACTTCACAAATGCAAGTTTCTCAGCATCTTTAGTAATTTACTGCAGCCTAAATTGTTCGTGTTAAATTAAGAGCAATTCTGAAACCACAATTATATTCTTGCTTTTTTTTTAAGTCCAGTGTTATGTGCATATTACTCATAACTCAGTTATTGAGTTCCAGCTGTAGCCACTTGTCTTCTACAATGCCTTGTCTTAAATAACATTCAATAAAAATCAGTAATTAAGAATGACAGCGATATATATATCCTAGTGTTTTTAATTTTTGTTTTGTGTAGGAGGACCTGCGTTAGTGGACCAAGGGGTGGGAGACGAAATCAATGAGGCTACTATTTACCTGGGCCCAAAATGTTACTGCATCTTCCACATGACTTCCAACCACGTCTTCAACTAAAACCAAATCACAATGCAAAGAAAATTAGAAATTAATCAAGATCTAGCTCTTAAAACCAAAAATAATTTTTAGTGTCAATACCTTTATTGTAATGTATATCTTCATCCATCTGGACAATTCCTGAAAAACTAAATTCAATACCTTGAATTAGGGTCTTATAATGTCCATTAATAGTGAATAAAAACTAAAACATATAACGTTCAAATTCCTACAAGTATATTTTGTTCTAAATGTTATGAAAATTGAAATTCTTATTAAATATGACCTCAAAAATATTTTCAATAATCCTTTTGAGAATACTGTATTTTGCGATTTCATCACATAGATCTTTGAAATTTTTTCTTTAGCCAATTTTACAAACTTACACTAAAGTGGCTAATTCATGCACATCCTGATCAGCTACATAAATCGATACTTCAGAGTAATGTGCATATTCTTTTAAAATAAGTGATGTCCTCCCAAAACAACAGAACTTCCACAGTTTAAACAAAAAGAAACACTACAAATACATATAGAACAAATGCTTCAGACTGGTAATCAATTTTATTTAAAAGACACAGTGGTTCCTGCTTTTGAAGATACCCTGCAATCAAAGACTGCAAAATGAATCAAATCTTGCCCATTACTTCAAAAATAATTTTCATTACATATTATATTCCAAAATAAATATCTTCTAGTTTATAATTTTATCTTTAATACACAAGAATATTGCACTTAATATGCATAAATGTTACTTCTTTGAACTGAAAATATTTTTTTAAGAGCTTTAAAAGTTAACTAAAAACAGCACTATATCAAAGTTTAAAATGCTTTTTGAAATAGGAAAAAAGTTAACTCTGGGCAGGGAAAAAAACGGTTATAAAAATGTTTTAAACTTTATTCTTCTAATTCTTATTACGGCTTGAAAATTTTTTTTTCACATACACTAAGCAGCATCAAAACATCTTCAAAACAAGTAGTCTACCTCCAATATTAGACAAAAAGTAATTTTTAAATTAGGCAAAAAGTTGTAAAACCAAGTAGGAATCTGTTTAAGGAGACTCTTTCTCTGGAAGACATTCGATTAAATTTAGTGAAAATGAAAAGGTTTATTTTGGAAATCCCACCACACACTCTAAGAAGCTATTTCCAGAATAGTTTCTAAATCGTATTTTAAAGGGCTTCAAAAAGACTCGCCCGCAACGATTACGAAGAAACTAACGCTGCACCCCCTTTCTGCAAACCTGGATTACCAAATGGTACTTCCAAATCTCCAATGCACGGCGATTGAAATAAGTGAGTCCAGGTCGCTCCGTGACAACTATTTTGGGAGATTTTGAAGTTTAAATGGCAAAGAATTTGCGGGAAGAGAAAATTCCACCCCACAAAAGGCCTGCGTGTCCCCGTCTTCTTCGAGAACCCTCAGGCCCGAATTGTCCACACGTCGGTTTCACTTGCTGGCAAAGCCGGGGTGCCCCTAACCCTCAGAAGCAGGCGGGCGCGGGAAATGCGAAAGCAGGCCAGGAAATGGGCCTCGCCCCACCCTTAGAGACATAAATGCCAACCAGGGGTAAAACTACGATCCCGGGAGCGGCCACCATCGAACACACCAAAAGGACTACTACTGACCTCATGCTTTCCACCGCAGAAGCCCTAGAAAAGTGCCCCGGGCCCCACATGCTGGGCGCTCAGCCCGGCGCCCTCCCCCGCAGCTCACCGTCATCCAGCCGTCGCGCACGTGCGGACTTACCGCG